GGCCCAACCACATTTCTTAACATGGTATCAGAGCCTGGTTTAAGATCCGGTGGGCCACCTTCTATGGTTTCCGCTATCGGGCCACCCACCATTTATTTCCATGCTTCAGTTGTCCAATCCTGAGCGTGAGGGGGTGTGTTAAGAGTCCCACATCGGACAATATATGGCATGAACATGTGTTTATAAGTGGGGGCAATCCTCACTCTACCAACCGGTTTTGTAGGGTTGAGTTAGGCCCAACCACACTTCTTAACATGGTATCAAAGCCTGGTTTAAGATCCGGTGGGCCACCTTCTATGGTTTCCGCTATCGGGCCACCCACCATTTATTTCCACGCTTCAGTTGTCCAATCCTGAGCGTGAGGGGGTGTGTTAAGAGTCCCACATCGGACAATATATGGCATGAACATGTGTTTATAAGTGGGGGTAATCCTCACTCTACCAACCGGTTTTGTAGGGTTGAGTTAGGCCCAACCACACTTCTTAACAATAATTAATCAATTACAACTAACTAAATCAATTAGAAAAGTAATTAAACAATTAACTATTAATTTAGATCACAAATGATTAAAACAAATTGGCCTAAAATACATTAAAAAACATAGTTAGCAAAAAAAATTTCAAATATTTAACACCTTAATTAACACAATATTAATATAATAAAATGAATCCTTCATAACCAGCATATTCATCACTAACTCAATCACTAACCAAAAAAATTAATTTACTTATTAATTCACAACAGTAGTAAATTTTATAAACCAAAAACTAAATTACTAATTTATATAAGTAGTTAGTTTACTATTTTATAAACCAAAACTTAGTTTTACTAATATATAACAGTAGTGAATTCTCTAACCAATACTAAATCATCAATTCAAAACAATGGTTGATTTACTAACTTACTAAAAAACTAATTTATTTATTAACCTATAATAGCAGCTCGTTTACTAATTTAAAACTATATTACTGATACACAACAGTGGCTAATTAACTTAGAATTGATATTACTAATTCACAACAACACCTAACCGTTACTTCTATTCCAACAATAACCGGCGCTTGGTAAAAACAACGAATCATGATGACAATTCCAGTATCAGAGTTTATTCCTCAAAATATACATACAACACACCCACATAGTTTAATCTCTCACATGTTATCACAAACTTTAAAAAGTAAAAAAAAATAAAAGTTTAGTAATCAACTTACAAAATTCAGAATTTGTTCATAATATCCAGGACAACACAATTCAACACAACACCATAACAACATACCAAGCACCATAACAACATACCAGAATTTATTCACAAACCACATATCTATACCGCAATTGAAATCGACGACACAAATGACAAAACCATACGAAATGACAGCATAAGCTAATTTCAAATAACTGAAGAATACATCAACGCATGACAAAGCTACAACCAACTTGGAAGAAAAAAAAGTCATAATATGCATCCTTAACTATAATTCCATACCATGAATAAATTTACTCATAAGAACACATCTTAAAATCCCCTTTGAACTTCAGCATGATTCAATTCGTAGCTCAAAACAAACAAAGTTAAAACATACTTTTCACATGGCATTCCAGAAGCAGCGGTATAGCATGGTAGTAACACATCCATACAAGATAAATAACAAAACACAATCAACAAAATATGAAACTAACTTTTGCGAAACCGAAACCGCAACAGTATAGTCAATTTAAGTAATACTACATGAGCAAAAACTGAATTAATTCTGAGACTCAAATCTGAATAACAAATAGTATACCACAAAGATTTAATTTTGAAGTGTTACGGTAAACAAAATCACTGTTTGGTGTTAACCCAAGCCTAGTATCAGATTCATTCTTTTGGGCAAAAGAAGTTGTTGCTTGGAAATGATTCACGGTGGTGAGTTCATCCGTTTCCTGAGACCGTCATTGTCGTTAGCACTGCTACGAAATGAGTCGAAGCGTAAATACTAATGCTGAGTTGGTTGTGACTTTGAAGTATTAATGTTTGTTCCGTTGCCGTCGTGGGGATGACGTCGGATTACATGATCGATTCACACCTCGTGTTTGGCTCGAACCTGCACATGAAATTAACAACAGACAGATAACACAATTTTTGCGAGAACATAACTAATCACGAGCTTTGTTGTTCAGATCCTACGTTCCCTTCTTCTGTTGGAGGTTTTGAACATGAGTTGTTGTTGTAGCGACCAAAAAAAGCCTTTGTCGAGAATCCAATCGGATGCGTTACGAGATGGGCTAGCTTGTGGTGTTGCTGCTAAGACCAAGCATCACCTGCAATATTACTGCTGAAACTGTGTTGGAAACTGAAAGTAGCAAAACTTGTCGACGACATCGCAATCTGCATATAAATTATCCATCGACTTTGCTACCATTCGTATGATTGCTCTGCTTCAATTCAAATATAAAACAGACTATCCACTTGACTTCTATAACATGGAAGAGTGCTAATAGCAGATCATATCAGTATCATATACGAACAAAACAAGCAGAAATCACTAAATCAATACTGAGAAAAAAAATGGAACAAAAGGTTTGAGTCAGCCTCTATTGCCATTGAAGATGATAAGCTAGCTGTTTTAAGCGCATAACCAGTCTACATGTTGTTTATAAAACCTGGTTTGGACTTTAACAGATGAATCCATTAATATCTGTACCAATCTAAAAATAACAGCAAACAAATTTGACAAATTAGATTACAAAGGAAATAACAGGGATTAAGAACAAAACTGTTACCCGAGGTTATTCTCAACAAGATTCTACATTGACCGCTGCTCGGTATCGACATCTGAGAACTACTTCCCAAGTCGAAACAGAGGTAAATCAAAAACGTTTTTTCTGCTACAATTTTTGTGTTTTCACGGTAGAGAAGTATTGTTGCGACGGACTGAAACAATGGTGGTTGTAGGGTCTTGGCCATACGGTTATTCTGAGATTCGAAAATGGAATTCACAGCGGCCAACCTTAGGGTTCACTGAGGGAAGAGAAGGTCGGTGATGTAGAAACAAGTTCGAAGGAAAAAGGTCTTGTGATGGGAGAAGATGAAGGTTTATGAAGTGGGGTTGGCGGCGGAATTGTGGCCGTTAGGGTTCTTAGAGGAAGCAGGAAATGAATAGTCCTCTGGGCAAGGGTTTTGTGAAAGCGGTCGTGAACAGTAGATTTTTAGGTTTCTCCCCCTTTTTGAACGATCCCCCTCCCCTTATATGGTGTTGTCCGAAACTCCATGGGCCTCCACTAATGGACCTCCTTTCCTTTATTTAAAAATCTGGCTTTTTTCTCTTCTTTTTTTCTTCATTAACATTAAAACTAAATAATATAATTATAGAAATTAATATCTACATTAACAACTAAATAAACATTTGTAATATATAAAAAAACAAACTAAAATTTATAAAAATAAAAATAATTAATATTATTAACAAATAACCAATAATTTTCTTAAATCCTAAATATTAATATTATTAACAAAATAACAAAATTGATATTTACAAAACTTTAAAAATAAACAAGACTAATATTATGTACTTATATATTTAAAACATGAACTAAAATATTGCTAATTATAAAAACTTTAAAAAAGAAGAAATTACGAAAACACAAATAGAAATAAATAAATAAATAAAAAAACTCAAAGACAACTTTAAGCCACGTGTCACAACTTCATTGGGCTAAAAAGGTGAAAAATATGTTAAGTTGTACAAGCAATGCAAATTAAAAATAAAATCGGGCGAATGAAAATTTTGAAAAAGGTAGGACAAATTTGGGGTATGACATAAGCCTACGAGATTCTTACTCTGCATGCAACATGCTTGACAAGACAACACAACACTTGCCCTGCATGCATTTACAAGACGCATGCATCAAGACACTTGCCCTGCATGCATTTACAAGACACATGCATCAAGACACTTGCCATGCATGCATTTACAAGACACATGCATTCGTGGAATATAAATAGAGGTTCTTTATCCAGCAAAATCTGCTCACACTTAAACTCTCAAACTCTCAAACTCTCAAACTCTCAAACTCTGAAACTATCAAAGTCTCAAACTCTAAAACCCTCAAATTCTCAGTTTCTCAATCTCTCAAACTCTCAAAGTCTCAATCTCTCAAACTCTTAAAGTCTCAAACTCTACTCACCCAGTAAATTTGTAAACCACAATGTCTCTACTCACAATGGGCAACTCTCGCAGAGGCACGATTGAAAACATCGCCAAGTTTGTAAGTTTTTAGTTTTTGTCTATGTTTACAATCTTTAGTTATCCTATCAAACTAACGAAACATTAATTATTTTGCAAGATGCATCAATGTTTCGATGTCGTATGCATGATTACATACCACACGACCCCCTCATAGAGGGATACCTTCATCATTGTGGGTTTGGTGATGTGATTAAAATCAAATCATACCCGCTCGATGCGAAGTTCATTCTAGCGTTGTTAGAATGCTGGAGACAGGAGACACATACATTTCACCTACCTTTTGGTGAGTGCACTGTGACTCTTCAAGACGTATACATGTTGCTCAGTCTACACCTTAATGGTAAGGTCGTCAACGACAAAGTTGGTGTTAACGACCAACTTTACGAAGATTTATTGGACGCCCCTCTTTGTGTGGACACAACTCAGGTAGAACACGAGGGTCGCCCCAGGGGTTAGGAAATAAATCTTAAATACCTCAGAGAACAATACAACAGTATTGTCTTAAGTGAGGATAGCACCGACTATGAGAAAATAGTCAAAACACGGTGCTATATTATGATTTTGTTTGGTCACTTATTATTTCCAGAGGGCACTGGAAATAGCGTAAATATTATGTATTTACCATTGCTACAAAACATAAACAAAGTGTGCGAATATAGTTGGGGATCAGTTGTCCTCGCCCATCTGTATAGTGCACTGTGTAAAAATTCCAAAAAAAATTCATGTACTTTTTATGGTTGCGCCTATCTCCTACAAGCGTGGGGTTGGTCTAGGATGCCAATGCTTGGTCCAGTAAACCGGAATCCGTTTACATTCCCGTACGCCAACAAGTAAGTTTCTTTTCAAGTCTATTTAGCAACCAAATTTTCTTTGTATGTTAATAATTTGTGAGATATATTTTAGATGCTTACTTATATGTGTTTCTTTTTTTTAGGTGGTCTGTTCCAGGGATGAATTATCAGAGATGTCCTAGACACTCTTTAATTGTGTACCAGAACCTCATCGACCACCTTGGGCTAGATGATGTAAGTCATCTACCTTTAATTTGTCTAACTTATATGCATAAACTTGTCTATCTCTGTCTGACTAAATGTATCCACCTTTATTGTAGTTTGTCTGGATGTCGTACGAGGGTCTCGACCACCAGCCCGACCCCAATGATGCTGCTGTGTGGACATCAAGAACACCCACCATTAGGTTCACTATGTTGGAGATGCACCAAAGTGACAGGGTGAAGCTACAATTTGGGATGCATCAGGATATTCCAGATGCTCCGACATCATTGGGGCAGTGGCATCAGCAACAGGTGGACTCACAGTGCAACACATCTTAACCGACCAAATTGTGGTAGGGGCTAAGCCAAGTTATCAATATATGACTTGGTTTAGGTCGGTCACGACATCTCATGGAACAATTAACATCACACCATCACACAAACTCATTGAAGAACAGTTAACACAAACTCACACATGGAACAATATTTACATCACACCATCACACTGAAACAAGACTCTCAACACAAGCAACAAGGAAAAGAAGAACAACATCGCAACTAAAAATGTAACACAATAACACATACACAAACAAAAAGTTTTTGAATTGAGAATTACCGAAATCGCTTCATCAACATTGTTGCTGAAAACCTGTTGTTGCCTATTGAAGATGAAGCGCAGATCATGGAGGGAGTTATGTAATGATGTTCAAGTTTATGAAATTGGAAACAGAGACGTGTCACGCCAAGACATCATCAGATCCAAACAAAATGGAAAAGCAAACGTGGTTGCGAACTTTGTTTGTTGAAGAAGAAGACAGAAGTATGTACGGGTGAAAAAAGAGAAAGGTAGATTGGCCGGCGACGAAGTACGGCGAAGGGAGTGAGGTGGTATCGAGCTTTGAGGGAAAATGGAAAAGAAATAAGGGTGGAGAAGTGATTTTGTTTGCACGGTATGGGATGGTGGTGCGGTTCGTTGAAGGAAAGAGCGGACCAAAATGGCGACGGCGGAAGTGTGGGTGAAGAAAAAAGAATGGCGAAAATTCCTCTTGTTCCATGTTATCTTGAAGATGAAAACGAAGAGATGATCTCTCAAGAACTTACACAGACACGGAGAACAAATACATCACTGACACATCGACACCGATAATATTTTGAAAAAAAGAATAAATTGAACATAATCACAAATGTCAGTATCGTGCTGGTGTCAAAGTCTGACACAGACACTGATACGGACAAGCCATTTTTCACATGTGTCGATGCTACATAGGCATAAACTAAAAAGTTTGATTTGAGAGCCCAATCCTTGGTCAATTTCAAGAGAAAAAAATAGCAGCAAGCTATAGAAGTAGAAAGACCCTAAATTGTATATTAGCACAATAAACCATCAATGAGTTCCTAAACTATTGTTCTCTATGTAATTTAGTCCTACAGTATATAAATGTAACAAGTTGCATCTTAGCCATCATATACTAGGGAGTTACATGTCAAAGATTACCTTGACTGCTTCTTGAGGAACAACCTCCTTGTTCATAAGTCTTTGACCTTTGAGCCCTGTATCATATCTAGAAGATTGAGGACAATAAGAACAATCCTAACTACACCCACCTATTTTCACAGACAGAAGAGTACACTGTTGCACTTCCCTAAAGTTATGAGCGTGTCTGTGAACCTGAGCCTAATAAATCACAAGAAAATAAAATTTCAGTAAAATTGCAAATAATCCTCCAAAAAAATGCGTCTTTTCCTTGGTGGGTTTGTCTTATCCACTTAAAAATGAAAACTTTAGCTCTAAAAACAAAAAGGGTTATTTCATTTTAATTTTGTAAAGAAACCCATTAGAACAAAAAGAAGAAAAGTAGTGAAATTACCCCGTGGAAGAGAAGATCGAGAATGGGAGAGTCGTAGATGGATTTGACTTCTTCTTTAGTCCAATCGTTTCTGGGACCATGTTGAATGGTTTTCTCAGCTTGAATTGCAGCGGCGGAGAAAGTGCAATATCCATATCCATAGGAAGAATGGTGTAATACCCAAATTAAAGATCTTGATTGTGAATGCAAAATTGTTCTCAACCAAAACATTGTGCGCTTGTTCTTAATTCAAAATTGTTGGTTAAGTGTGTTTCGGTGGATCTGCAAATTACATAGATATTGACGAGGGCAATGGAAGTGAAGTGCAGATGGTGGTGCGGTTCGATTTTGTTTGATTTTAGGGTTTTTTCTTCAAAATCTATTTGGTTTAATTTTAGGGTTCTTCCTTCTGAAAGAAATTAAGAGGGAAACAGGAAACACAAGAGTGAGAAATAGTTAGCCTCGGCTCATCCGTGTCTATCAGATAAAATAAATATATTCGAAAAAAATAAAAATAGTTAGCCTTGGCTAGTCCGTGTCTAATATTTAAAAATAATAATTCAAAAATTAAAAAATATCTAGCCTCGGTCTAGCCATGTCTAATGACTTAAATAAAAAGAATTGTAAAAGGAAAAACTTTAAAATGTTTTTTTTTGCGTTTAAATAGCCTCGGTTTTGGCAAGGCTAGTTAGCCTCGGTGTCGGTGGCCGAGGCTAAATTCGCAGCTAAAAAAAGTTAGCCTCGGCTCGTCCGTGTCTAATATTTAAAATAAATAATTCAAAAATTAAAAAATATCTAGCATCGGCCTAGCCGTGTCTAATGAATTAAATAAAAATAATTGTTAAAGAAAAACTTTAAAATGCTTTTTTTGCGTTTAAATAGTCTCGGTTTTGTCGAGGCTAGTTAGCCTCGGTGTCGATGGCCGAGGCTAAATTCACAGCTAAAATGAAGTTTTCTAGTAGTGCTCCCGGCTATTGGGGCCAAATGTTTCAAAATTTATCTGATACGCCAGGGTGTCCCAACAAAACCCTCCTCCACAACTCAACACACAAAGACTGGACACACCACAACAACCTCGCCGTAGACCTCGTCACAACGCGCATCCCCCATAATGTGGCACCGGTGGTCGCTTGGATAGAGTCTGCCATTAGTTTTTTTTTGTTCAATTGTAATTTTCATTATATTGTAAATTAATATATTTTAATATTTTTTACATGTCTATTCACTTAATGTTATTTAAATTTCAATTAATTATGAAAAACATAAACTATAATTTAATATTTATTTCATTTTTTTTCATTATTTACATTTTAATTAATGTTGAAAAACAAAAAACATAATTTCATATTTATTCCATTTCTTATTTTTTAACATTATTTAAAATTCAGTTAATTATGAAAAATCAAACCCATAAATTAATATTGACTCCATTTTTTTATAACAAATATTTATTAATACATAATTTAATATTTTTTATAAAAACATAATTAAAATTAATTATTAAAACATTCAATAAAAATTACTTACTGCGTAAACACTTAAAATAACGTAAACCCTAAAACACTTGGCTTGAGTCGCCAAATGCTTGGGCGACATCATTGAGGCCCATTTTCCACTTGCCCTGAGTCGCCAAATGCTTGGGCGACTTCTTTAAGGCCCAATTTCCACTTTGCCTGAGTCGCCAAATGACATGGCGACTGGATGTTGAATGTTCGCTAGTTTGAAATTTTTTTTGAATCTTTCATTTAAATGGTAATTTTTTCAAAAAACATGGTTATACTAAAAAAAAAATTCTTTTCTTTGTTTTGTGTAATATTGATATTTTAAATTATGTTAGTTACTATTGTATTTTAATTTAGAAGAGAATGAGTCGTTGTTTTGAAGAATTTGTAGCATTGAGCCAAATTTTATATGTTAAAGAGTAAGAGATAAATTAAAAGAAGCATGCAATTAGAAAAACAATGGATCGTCTTAGTTGGTTTTTTAAGAATACTTAATTTTTCAAATTACTGTCTTTAAATGAATTTGAATATGTATATATGTTTATCGAGGGATCATAAAAAATAGGCAATGGCCGGTGATGATATGGTGATATATGTTTATATGTTTATAACAATACCCTACCTAACCATAATTGGTTAACCGTCATACATCATAGTTTTTTTAACCATACGCCACATAAAATACTAAGTAATGTGACTTTTTTCGAATATTTGTTTGTTTTTGAATATGACATTGTAGTATGTAATTTTACTACATTGATTTTTTCTTCTTTTTCTTCTTCACTTCTTTCTCTCGAACTTCTTATTTTAATCTTTTCTTTTCTTCTTAATCATTTTTCTTCTCACCCTACAACATTTTATTTGAATCGTTTCTTCTCTTCTTAATTATTTTTCTTCTCCCCCTCTTACCCCACTTTTTATTTTTATTTTCCTTCTCTCTTGTTTAATTTATTTTTAATTTCCTTCTAATCTCTCAATTTCTTATGTTAATACTTTTTTAAAATAGGGCATGTAATTTTTGTTTGAATTGGCTGATTATTGTTTTTTAGAATTTAAAAATATATTTTTTCTTTTTTCTTAAGGTAAGCATATTTTAACAACTAGAAAAATAAATTATTTAATAGGGTGTAAAACTTAGTTAATATAATTCATAATTGAATGTCCGAAAATAATTAATATTATGTATTTTATTGTTTATAAAGTAGTAAAAGGATTAACAAATTATAAGAAAAATAAGTGATTAATAACATATAATTGAGTTGTTAATACAAGATGGAATTGATGAATAACACAAGTTGGTGAGCATATGATTGGATTTATACTATTTGATTAATTAGAGATTCTAGTACTTTTTAAGTTATGTTTGCTCGTAATTCTTTTTTTTTTTTTTTATGTTGACCAATATACAAATTGAACTTAGGTTATGAATGACTATATTGATCCTAATTTATTATCTATTATAATATAATATTGACACTTCACTATATTTAATGCCACATCACTATTATTTTTATGTGGTATCTTCTAAACTTATTCTTTAATTTTCAAAAGGCACAATTACATAGTGTTAGAGATTATTAGTTTTAGATAAATGCAAAAAATATATTATTTTATCAATTACTTATTAACTTCAATATATATTATTTTCATAAAACTTATATAATATCAACATTTATTTTTCTTACAATTTTTTTAATTAGGAAAACTAAATAAAATAAATTTTGATAGATATTTTCAATTTTATTTTCTATTATCTATTCTTCATATAACATTATTCTTGAATTCTTAAATATAAGGATATAGAATTTGTCAAAATTGATTTATAGCTTGTATAATTTTTTTCCTACATTAATTATAGTGATTATAATAAAAAAACATAGGCAGTAACGTCTGAAATAAAAACACTAATATTTCTATTAATATCTACCATGAAATCACATAAAAATTTTATGATATAACTTTTATAAAATTAATATAATTATTTTTATAA